GTCTCCCCTCAGCCTCCTCTGCTCCAGCTGAACACACCAAGTGCCCTCAGTGTCCTCCCACGGCTTCAAATCAAGGCCCTTCCCCATCTTCATTGGTGTCACTAACCTTCTATTTTTAATGCACATGTAGGTGTGATGAAAAGACCTGGAAAAAGCTGATGTCTTACTTGGAGAGCAGCAGCACTGCTGGCTGTGAGGCTGACACAGCCCCTGCAGAGCCCCCCAGGAGGCTCCCACAGCTCCCGGGGCAGCTGGAGCTCAGGGGCCATGGAGGGGAAAAACTGGAACCAGACATGGAAGAGGTAATGCCTGTGAAAGTTATTTATGTCTCTTTAAGTAGCTGAATTTTTGTATATCTATATTTATTATGGTCATTCTGTTCTCTCTTCCTGGTGTTTCTCACTTTGCCACTGGTTCATCAGCTCAAACCTCTCACACTTCCCTCTCGCACTGCATTTGTGGTTTGGTTCCTACCTGAAGCTGCCTTTGGAGGATGAGATGTGCCCCAGGCACAGTCAGACACAGGCTCTGCAAACCCTGTCCGTGATGTACCTGCTTTGGTGTGTTCCCTGAGGGCTGGGACTGCTCCCCTGCAGACAGAAGAGCTGCACCCCAGCACAGAAGGAAGCTTTGTGTTGCTCTAAGGAATATTGCAGGGGTAAATTGTCACTGACTACTGAAAATTGGGTAGGACACAAGCAGGATTTTATTCTGGTTTTAATTTTTTCCCCTCACAAATAAACTCATTTAGTCAAGGGAGAAAATTATATGAAATACTGATAAAACACAAAGCATGGTGACACGTAAAGAAGTCCCTGCAGGCAGTGTCCAGGGATTCCTCAGCTGTGCATGGAATTCCTCACATCCTAAGGCCTCCAGCTTCCCTGGGAGCACAGCAACTCTGCAATACATCCCTCCAGCTGACTGAGACTCAGGGTCTCAGTGTTTTGGAATCATTTGGAGTAAATCAGCCAGTTTACTGTGGCTGTTTCTTGGGCCTAGAGCAATATATTTATAAATATAAATAAAATTAGTTCTCAGGTTTAGCAGCATGTCCAGCTTTCCTTCGGCAGAGCTTATAACCATGTAGTCAAAAGTCTCAGTGCCATATCCCAGCAGTCCAATGTGATCTTACTCTTTAAATACTGCAAACTTCAGCCACTGATGGACACAGATTTCACACCAGCAACCTTTCTGTGAAACAAAACCAGTGCAGATGCATTGCTTTGATCTGCTTTCTCCTAAGGTTCAGTTAGTGCTTGTTCAGTATTTTATGCTCCATCTTTAAACAAAGCATAAGGATTTCAGTAGTTCTGAAAGGATTCTATGAATCAGTAAAATATTTAAAGTAAGGGTAAAATATTCGACTTCTTTACATGTCACCATGCTTTGTGTTTTATCAGTATTTCATATAATTTTCTCCCTTGACTAAATGAGTTTATTTGTGAGGGGAAAAAACTAAAACCAGAATAAAATCCTATTTCTGTCCTACCCAATTTTCAGTAGTCAGTAACAATTTACCCCTGCAATATTCCTTAGAGTAACACAAAGCTTCCTTCTGTGCTTCTTAACACCAGCCCATAGAAAAACCTTCCTGTAGGTGGTGCCATTTTTAATCCCTTTTTCCAGAGTTAGTCATCTTCTTTTGCAGTACCACACTGCCCTCTTTTTCATCTCTGCTGATGGATATTAGTTCTGTGCACCTTGTTTGGAAAAGCACCATTATTGGTGCTTTGGTACAAAATTCCAGAAGGAAAATGGAATCTACTGCTCTTGGTTTAAAGACAAGCAGGGAGGCACCAAGTCACTGCAACAGGAATTAAATATCAGCAGGATTAATCACTTTGAGCCTGTTAGGAATTTATTCTTAAGCCCTTCTACTTTTATTTAGTCAGTATTTATACTTGTGTACAGTTATAGGGGAGGGGGTTGATACTACAAAACAGACACACAAATGATAAATAACTCCTTTCAAAAAGGTGACTGTTCCTGTAATCAACAGAAAGCAAATTGGAAGACTGATAAATGCTCTGTATCGAGTACCTTGCAAATAAATATCTTGACTTAATAAATAGACCACCAACACTTTTCTCTGAACCTGACGAACCTTATACATTGTTCTGTATACTTCTGTTTGTACCTGCTCAGGGCTCAGAATTAGACAAATAACAACAAGGCTAACAAGGCTCAGCAGGCAAGTGAAGGGCAGCACTCTCAAATGCTGATTAGTAATTGCTTCAATCTAAGGCTTGTAAAACCAGAGGATGAAAGAGCTCTGAAATTTGTCTTGTCTAGAAAGTTCTACTTCCCAACAACCCAACATTTAAAAATAGCTTCTGCTGAAGACAGGGTGTTGACCTGGGGATAATGGATGGAGAAAACATGAGTGAGTTCTGAAAATAAAGTGATATGCTGCCCAGGGTAGTGTTGCAGAGAAATGCCAATTATTTTCTATAAATGCTTGCACACAAACTGCCAGCTTAATTAAAAAGACAATTAGTTTATGACCTGCCATACAGGGTCAAATGAAAAGTTCATCCCAACATCATGCACCTGCAATTGCTCAGAGAAAAGCAAAGAGAAACAGTGCAGAGGATGCTCCCAAGAGTGGTCTGGGGACAGACACATCCTGAGCTGGGTGTTGGATAGAGCACCGTGTTTAATGGCCAGGGTTGGAGCTCTTTACCATGGATTTACCCTCCCTTACCTTAAAGCTGGCTATGCTTTTGATATCTCAGGGCAAGGTTTTGAGGATTTGGTTTTTTTGGCTTTAAATCTGCTGTCTGAGCATCCACCATCACCTTGGTTTTGTACTTGGGAACCAGCAAATAGTCTTTCCCTCATGGTTTTGCAGACTCCTCCTACCAGAACTACTCCCTCAGTTATCACCATTCCTAGTCTGCCTTGGCAGGGAAACCTTTACCTACTTCTGTTATTCTATTTGATTCTCCCATGTACTTTCCAAGCTCTATTACTCTTTTTTGAGTGAGAACAGAAGTTGTGTTTAGTATTCCAATGCACTGGCTGCTGAGCTGTGTTCAGGAGGTTGCAGCCCCTCTGGATCTCCTTCCCAACATCACTGCATTCCTATAACATGGTGTGCCTTTTCTACCTGCCTCACTTTGCAGCATTGACACTGAATTTCATCTGATCTTTTATTGCCCAGAGCTATTCCATATTCATGAACTCCTTCTCTAATTCTTTACAGGCAGCTTTGGTTTTGATTGCCCCCCAGAAAATTGTATTGACAGTAAACTTAACCACTTTGACATTCACCTTTTTAATTTATGAATATGCTGAACAGCTCAGGTCTTAGCCCAGCTCCTTGTGAGACCCTGAGAATTATCATGGAACCCTCAGTCCTGGTCTCTGTGCTCTGCCCATCGTTTAACCAGCCCTAAGTCTAGCAGGATCTGTGCTACTGCCCTGGGACAATTAATACTTTATTTTTTTTTTCTTAGTATTTGGTGATGAACCTTATCCAAAGCTTTTTGCAGGTTTGAAACACACCCTATCAACTGAGTTAACATTATTCATATATATTCATAAACCCTTCCAAAGAAATCTAATAGATTCTTCACTATGTTCTTCTGTGGATTCACCAAGTGCCTCCTCCATTCCTATTAATTTGCCTGACAGATTTACTGATTTGAGGGGATTTGCTGTTCCTCAGACCATCTCTGCACCCTCCCAAGAACTGGTGCTCCATTTGCCACTCTCCAATCCTCTGAGGGGGACAGGATTTAGAAGATAAATTGCACAGCACAGTTCAGCACTTCATTCTGTCCTTCTGCCACTCTTTTCTGCCCATTTTGAAAATGTTTCTCAGGTTCATTGCTTGTAAAAATGGCTCTGATTGAGAGCCTCCTCAACTTCTGTGCAAAGCACAATAGAAAGATTTTATCTTACATTCCTATGGGGATTTTTGCATACTAACTATTAATTTTCCTAAACGTATTTGTACACACTACTCCAGAGCTCAGATTTGCCCTGTGGCATTCCCCCCTTTTAAAAGAGGGTTGGATACCAGCAGCTGACTTCTCCTCAAAGCTGGGGTTTGGCAAAACAATATTTGCATTTCACAAACAAGGCTCAGATCCCAAACCAGGCTTTGCTGAGGGACGTGGACAGAGCTAAGAACAAACCTATTCCTCTGAGCCCTGTGGCTTAACTACTGACCATCCTGATCCCCTCAGGATCCAGGTTTTAAAAGCAGGTTTTGCTTAATTATTTTCATTATCTTAATACAAGTGTTGAGGTGACATCAGGTGCTAGATGTAACCTCGCTGGGGAGAACATGTTGGGAGAATGTTTTAATAGTGCACTGAGCTACTTCCTCCAAGCATTTAAAGACCAACATTGCATACCCATGTGTGTCAATGAAACACAGGCATCAGGAAATCAGCAGCCTTATAGATGGCCAGGTGGCTGCCAAGGTGTAATTGCTGGGAAAAGCAGTTTATGAACTACAGCACAGGAAGCACAGGTACAACGGGTCTGTAGGAGCAGTGAAAATGAAGAGGAAGAAGAGGCAGCAGCAACAAGAACGAATGCTGTCCTTTTTCCCTCTCTGCTATTTGATATGACACTGCCTTGCCTGCACAGGGGACCATAACAGCTTCCTGTGGCTGTAGAATCACAGAATAGAACCAGAGAATCATTTAGGTTGGAAAACCCCTGTAAAACCATCGAGTCCAACCATCCCCCAGCACTGCCAAGGCCACCAGTAACCCGTGTCCCCAGGTGCCACATCCACACACCTTTTAAATCCCTGCAGGGATGGGGACTCCAGCACTGCCCTGGACAGCTGTGCCAGGGCTGGACAGCGCTTTCCTTGAAGAAATTTTCCCAATATCCAATCTAAACCTCCCCTGGTGCAACTTGAGGCCATTTCCATGTTGCCTGGGAGAAGAGACTGACCCCCACCTACTAAAACCTCCAAAAGGTACCTGTCAAGAGCAGTAAGGTCTCCCCTGAGCCTCCTTTGCTCCAGCCCCGGTCCCTGGGCTGCTCCTCCTGAGGTTTGTGCTCCAGCCCCTTCCCAGGTGGTGTTTATGGAGCACAGACAATGGAAAGCACACATTTAATTCACTCCTCTGAAGGGGGTGCTCAGACAGGGCTGCTGAAACCACCCCTTGGCAGATGGGCCAGAGGAAGGGATCCAAACCTCTGGATCGCTCCAAGGAGCTCCAGTGCTCCCAGGGCAATGAGAGGGCAGGGGAGCTAATGGAACAGGCTGATCTCCATCTGATGGGGGAATAAGTGCCAATTAACACACACCATCAGCACTGTCGGAGACTAAAATGACCTTCTAGAAGGCTTGCTGTGGATGAGGGATTATTTTCTTTTTCACTCGGATGACACTTGTGTTTTAGGGAACTGAAGTTCCTTCTCATCTATTAAAATTCATTAGGATACAACATACACACACACAAACCTACTCTCTCCTTATTTCTAAACCTACAAGGAAGATAAAAGATGACATCAAAAAGGGATTATCAAAGCCGGCACACTTGGCAATTTACCCTACATGATTTTTTTCCTCAGTGTAAAATTAATAAATATATAATAAATATTGTGTTTGCAACAAGAAACTACAAAAAAAGGTGTGATTTTAGAATCAGGCACAATAATGATTGGTAGGTTTACTTTTATTAACAAACCTGAAATCTCTCAGTGCTCTCAATGATTTAAAATTAATAATTTAAGTGCTATATTTTTCAAGTAATGCTTTTCAGGCTCTTTTTAGCAATTTGGCCACGTGTCTGCAACAGGCCTGGGTCTGTGACCGACAAAAGTATTTACTGTTGCAAGTGGTGTGGCAACTTTGTAGTTCAAAATATGTCACTTAGGTTTTACACTGAAAGAAAAAGCAAACCTGAACATTTTTTCACAGAGAGGTCTGAGATAACTGACAGGTCAGTTCAGCTTTGGAAGGTCCAGGTCTGAGGAGACTCCTCTTGCCCAGAATTTCTGAAGTGTCCAAGTCTTGTCGAATTTGGACTTCTCTGTGCTCAGCTGCAAATCACCACTGGGCCAAGCACGAGTTGCCAGTGTTTAGCAGAGCCAAAATCTTTTTTTTTCCTTAAGACACTTTTTTTCTTCTTTTACCAAAATACTTTAAAGACATTCGCTAATTAATTACCTTCTTGTTTCACTGAATGTGATTGCCATGTGGGATTTGCAAGACAAAGATACGATAACCTTGGTGAGGGCACACAAGTTGGTTGTGCTTTATGGAGGACAAGAGGAATGAAAACGATTAGGAAGCTGAAATACCAGTGGTAGTATTTAAAACTCCTGAATGATCTGCCTATACCCAGTGTTGAGTGAACTGCCACTGTGCACAAGAGCAAAGTATCCATTTCCCAGCAACTGCTGATTTCTGGGGGCTGTTAAAGAAATGTCCTTCCTTTCAAGACACTCTTCTGGAGTGAACTGGCACTTACCACACAGAGGGGTAAACTCAGCTTTGCAATTCTTGGGCAAGAAAGGAAAAGCTCCAGTGCTTTCAATTGCCTGTGTCCTTGTCCAGGTGACAGGGCCACTGCTGGGGGAGCTGCAGCAGAAGGTGGAGGAGGCCGAGCTGCTGAAGATGGAGCTGCAGATGCTGGAGACGGAGAGAGTGAGGCTGTCACTGGTGGAAGAAAAGCTCATGGATGTTTTACAGCTTCTTCAACAGCTCCGAGACTTGGTATGACAAGAAAGCAGTTCTGAGACTTAAAACTGGGGTTTATAGTGTCCTTAGAACTTCTTTTTATAATGTCCTTCCCAAACTAAAAAGCATGTTCATCCCTTCTATTAAGAGCAAAATCCTTTACACCAGGACATGTTCTTACATGTGTTTGCCCTGGAAAGTGCCTGGTGATTGCAGAAAGCTAGGGCTGACTTTCTAAGAGAAGCCCCAATATCTCCTTGAAGCTGAATCTCAAGGCTTGTTACCCTCTATGCAAATATTTAGAGGAAATGAGGAAAACAAAAAAGTGAGGAATCAAATTCTAACAGATTTATTTTTCCTTCTAGAACAGGGCCTTTGTTTAACTGCATCCTAATGTAAGACTGAGTCAGTATTAAAGGGATAAAACCCCCTTTTATATATCAGTAGGGTATTTTTTGAACAAAGTTTCTTATCCAATTAATAATCCAAACATGAACTTACCAAAACTGATGCAATAACACCTCAGAAGTACATGGCCACTACAGCAGTTCAGCCCTTTAGAAGAGAAGTTTAAATCTCCTGCATGAGACTGATAATGGCTAAGGCTCACCCAAAGAGAGGAAAATTGGATAATCTGCAGGACACTGAGTATGTTGGGAGCTGCACTGTACTGCCACAAACTGATTCCTTGGATAATCAATTTTGAGCAGAGCTCTGCCCAGTCTTTGTGAGGTGAGAATGGTTCCTCAGACCATCACTTTACTTTGAGGTACATTAATATTCCACTGATGAATCCAAGGACCAAGTGCAATCCCTCATCATTTTGTCACTTCTTTAGCACTTGACATGGAAATTCTTCTTTCATACTGCAAGTCTGACACATGTGTCACTAAGGATCCAGTGAAGGATTAAACTAGTGAAGACTATGACTGGCAACAAGCATAATAACCTTTTGTGTCAGGCCTTCAACTTGTCATTCACTGGTCAGTTGTAATATTACAAATCATCTCTGCTCAGGGGACAGCCCATCACACAATGTGCCCTATCTCAATGATAGCAGCACCCACTGCTAACCCCTGCTGGCAAGGTGCTGTGTGCTGCCAGCTCCCACAGCACCCCACAGGATGGTGCTGGCAGCCACCATGGTCACTCACAGCATCCCCAGGGGAGTTAACAAGAATCCCCTGCCCCTGATGGGATGTACTTCAGACAAAAGAAAGCTTATCCATCAGAACCTGTGGGTTTAGGTGTCACTTCCCCACCACATTCACCTTCATGTTTTGAATATCCCAAGCCCCTCCCTTGCAGCAGGAGGTGCCACAAGCACTCACTGTCCCGAGGGACACAGAGCCCTGGTGGGACTGTTGAAGCTGCCCCTGTGCTGCAGAGCCCACGGATGAGCCCAGCCCCACACAGAGTGCCCTGCAGTGTGCCCAGCTCCCCGGGCAGCCGAGCAGATGGCACAGCACGGGTGGCAGTGAGCAGGGCCGGCACTGCCTGTGCTGCAGGGCATGCAGCAGCTTTCTCCCAGAACTGCTCCCATCCCTCTCCACTGCCTGGAGTTTGAACAGGAACACCCTGTCCCTGCAGATCCAGGCTCTAATGAAGCTGGGTGCCAGCCCATCTCCCAGAAAGCACACAGCAGTGTCTCCACAGCACCTGAGGAGAGTCTGCTTTCCCAGGCACATGATGTAATGTCCCAACAGATTTCTTGTGTAAAACTACCACTGGAAAAGACCATCCAAATCCTAAGTAGTCTTTACAATGCTCTCACTTTGGCTAATGTTTATTGAATCCCAGGGTGGCACTGCCCCTGACATACACAGCCTGGCTCCCAAGGGTCCGAGCAGCCCCTTTCTGCAATGACACCACTGGGTCCATCTGTTCTCATCCCACCCCAGGCATGGCAGAGACTCAACAAGCCCTGCTTACATTTCTTGTCTTCTAGATTTCTTTAGACACAGCTCTGGAAAATTCTGTATTTTCCACTGAACAGTTGTTATTTCTCTTTTTGTACAGCCATATGAATGAACTGCAGCCCTCCACAAACTGCTATTATTTGAGCAGTGTCTAAGATAAAAATGCTTGAAAATAAAGTAAATATCAAGTCTTGTGTTACTCAGGACTCAGTTTCATTTTGATTCACTTTTCCAATGCAAATGCCCTGCACAGAGGTTTTGTTGCATACATGTAAACTGGTGTAGGACATATTTGTGCCATAACATTGTTTTGGTTTTTCACAGAACATCTCCAAGAGAGCCCTGGGGAAAATGTTGCTGAGCACTTTGGAATCCTGCCATGCCCCTCAACCTGGTAAGCAAATAAATCATGTGTGAGGACCAAAAGGGTCCTTTTGGGAAAAATACCAGATAATACACTGATGAAGAAGAAAAAGATATTTCAAATACTGGGCTACAGGCTGGGGAGAATGAAGCACTATGCAAGGAGAGTACCTGTAGAAAGTGATACTTTCTAGTCTGTGACACATTAAAAACATCCAGGGCACTTTTTTAGACAAATTTTAGGCAGAATTTTGCCTTAGGAGAGCAACTCAGTACCCCACTAATGTTTGTAGAGCTTCACTGATATGAGCAAGTGGAAAACATAACCAAGTAAGTAAGGCAGCTATTTATGGAGTTTGCTGTCCCACTGTGTTGAATTCCTCTGCTGCCACACAAACCAGATACACAAATCAGAACAGTTCTGTACAGAAACCAGATCAAACCTGCACTCCTCTAACAATAACCTTTTGTGTTCCTCTTATGAAGATTAAACTTGCAGACTCTGTCCCTTGACAGAGCTCTGTTGTGCCAGAGCTGCCTTTGCACGAGCCACACAGGGATCACAGCCCCGAGGTGGAGGTTTGATTACTTTGTTCCTGTTAGCAGAACATTTGTACTTACCTTCAAGAAATTAACATCCTGTACCAAGAACATGGCTTGGAGGTGCTTTTAATAGGCAGGCAGGAGTCGAAGACAAGATTATAAAAGACCAGATAAGGCCTGGGGGGTTAGATTTGGAGAATTTTATTTACAGGGATTAGCAAACCCTCTTGGGTTTTGCAGTTTCAAAGCCATGTTGTTACTCCTGCCCAGAAATCCAGGGCACAGGTTGTGCTGTTCCAGCACAGAGAAAGCAAAGAAAAGAAGGCAAAGGCAGAGCTTTGTGGACTCCAGGACACCAACACAGAGGGGAACTGAGCTATAGGTCTGATGCTCTCCTGGTGAGAACAGAAGAAGAGACTGTTTGTATCCACAGCACACAATGTCCAGAAGATCCTGCTCCTTACCCTGCACAGGAACATGGACTCCAAGTGATGCTGCTGAAACAAAGCTCCCCCCTCTGGAACAGCAGCACAGCTCAGCTCCTAAACCTCCGAGCGTGGCTCTCTGCCCACTCTGCACCACCACTGCCACGAACAGCTCACCCTCTCTGCTTGCCTTGTCTGGCTCTGCACTTGACAGGAGTTAAGCAGCTCTCCTAAGTCTTTGTAATCAAACATCTTCCTTTGACCATCCAAATGGACGGTTGGAATGGCAGCTCTCAATCGTAACATGAAATAGTCTTTGTTCACACCATATAGGAGACCTCAGTGGGCAGAGTATGAAGCAAGAGAACTAGCAGAGAAAAGAGTCAAGCACAGTTTTGCTCTCATTTTTTAATGGACAGGAATTCATTATTTGGTAGCAAAATTTAGACATTTTATGACAATTACTTGAAATGTCACCTGTGAAGAAAAGAGCTTGTTACAATTGTGAAACTCAACTTTCTGTCTTTGTTCAAATGGTAATGTTTGCAATTTTCTCTTGAAAGGCAAAGCTCACCTATTTGAAGTCCTGGATACCCTTCAGCAGGAGCTGGCAGCCTGTGAACTCCTGCACCAGGAGCCTGTGGAGCAGGGGCAGAGCCCCCAGTCCCTGTCCAACGCCCTGGTGATCTCGTGCTGAGCCGCAGCACCAGCGACACTGCCCAGCCCAGCACCCCCTGGGCACCACACAGAGGGGGGACATTGGCCAGCTCAGCCTCCCCACACTGCCCAAGAGCACCTGAGGGATCCAGCCCTGCTGTCCAAGCTGTGGTGCCCTGGGAAGGGCAGCACTTCCCCTGGGAGAGCAGCAGTTCCTCGGCTGATCCCAGCCCTGTCTTGGTGAGGGTTCAGTGCCCGTCTCCATGGAACCTCCCCATCCCTGGAGGTGGCTCTGGGACTGTCCTGATTCACCAAATAAAACTGTTCCAGACACACTCACCTGACCACTGAGATTTCCAGCCCTGTGAGCTGGGCACAGTTTTTAGCTTCTGTGACAGCCTGTGTTATCCCTGGCAAGGAAACAGCTTCCTGAATGTACCAGTGACAGTGACTGTGTTACAAACACACACAGCAGTGGGGGCCAGTAGCACAAGTTTTAAGGGCTTTGTATTTCTGATTCAGTTATTCACATTATTTAACTCTGAAGTCAGATTTGTTATTGCTCTGCTGAATTTTGTATTTGCAATTGCAGAGATGCCTTAGAAATCTGCAACAGTCTCTCCTGACAATAGTCAGACTTTACATAAAAAGTCAAATTTAACTGCTTGAAAAACGTCCAAAGCAATCTTGTTCCCAGACTCTCAGGGAAAGGAAGGGTTGGAAAATTCCCTGTGCAACAGCTGTTGTTGTCGTGTTGGCAAAGACATGTGCGGGGCACAACTTGGTTCTCAAGTGTAATTTCTCTCAGTGCAACTGAACTGACACAAAGCCAGACCCCACATGCAGGAAAATTAGTGTCAAAAGCTGGGCCTAATCACAGTGCCACACAACGTTTTAACCAGCAATAAAATAATTCCTGGGGACAAAAGTACAAAAATAGGTTGATTTCAAGATGCTTTTGCTGTTTCATTCAGCTGTCAAACACGGAAGTTAAAGCAGCAGAGTTCCTAAATGATCCCACTGAATTTATGTCATTAAAGGATGCACTGTAGATCATTTAGGAATGTGGAATGATTTGCCTGAGAGAACGCCAGCCAGGAAATAAGACCATTCAACTGCGCCTGTATGATTTTCTCCCATGAAAATGGTTTTATACAGGAATAAGGTCCACAATGCAGTCTGGGGAATAAGAAGATTTCTATTCTTTCCCTTCAGAATACACTGTGTAGCTCACACACAACTCCATTAAAAATTGTGATACATCAGAGCCCTGTTGGCAACCAAAATTTGCATTATTTTCATTTTACAGGAGAAAAAAAGATGTTTTGCAAACAATGAAACAAACTCTATTCACTGGGGTTTTACCTGGTTGAGTGTTTGTGGTTTGGGTTTTTTGTAGTTTAACAGAGGAAGAATTTAAGAATAGACGTATATTGTTAATGTACATTTTTCATAAAGACAAATTAGAGAGGACATACATACATAGAGCAATATTCACCCTGTAAGAAACTGTCTACTAATACTAAATATATTACTAACATAATACCAGAGCATCATATACTATTACTTAGTATATACTAAAGAATATGCTCATATTATACACTACAAAACCCACCCCTGAATGTGCAGCAGATAACAACTGAGATGAGCAGAAGTTAACTCCCTGCTTGGGTTCATTTTCTAAAAAACCAGAAGTGTCAGCTTATGTTTTGTGCAGGTCTCAGGCTTTCCCAGGAATATTATATGAGTCCAAAGAGAGAAAATGCCAGGAGATCATGAAATCAGCAGGATCTGTGTGCACAGATGAGACACCTCAGGAGCAGGATTATAGTGGCTGTGGATACTCCTGTGCTGCAGGACCCTTCTACCCTGGAATTTGCAGTATTTCCTGGATCCACTCTCCACACGTGCATTTGTGTGATATACACTTATGCACACCTTGAGATTGCTGTGCTCACTGTACACTTTTAGCACGCTTTTTAGCATCATTTCACCACTGAGTTCCCACTTCACTCTCTAAAGCATTTCTACAAACCCAGCCAATTAATAAAGTAATGCCCTGATGCCAAACTGGGGGGGCAGCAAGATGGGCTGAGTTAGTGCTGCCCAGCTTATCCAAGCACCCAAACTGGAACTGGAAACCAGAACATGTCACTGCAAACCTGAGCTGGTGTTGAGGGAGGGGCAGTTGAGATAAAAGGAAGCTTTTGTGAATAAATAAACAGCATTTCACTGATGCAAGAAGCAGCAAAATCCTATCTTGCTAAGTTAGCTTCAAATCCTGTAACACTATTATTTCTTTAAGAAATGACTGTGTCAGAATAATTTGTGATACATCAGCATAAGCCGATTAACTTTTCAGTGATAAAAGCTGATTATTTTAACTCCAAAAAGTAATTCATATGGACCAAATCAGACTTGCACTTCTTCAGGACGGATCAAAAAACAGCCCTCAGCCAAATTCTTGCTGTAAGTCAGAGGCAATGCAAAGCACTTGAAAGACCTTACAATTGATTTTTTTCTTATATCTCTTAGCTTCATGTTTTGCCCTGAGCCTGTCAGTAGTGTTGCTGAGGCTGCTAAATATTTCATACAACTCTCTATAAATATGTGATTTGAAATCAGTGGGACTGAGAAATTTCCAGCCCTACCTCAAAAGCAGGTGGGCTTCCACAGGGTGATGTACTGTGTGTACAGGGAACATCTACCCAGTTCGAACAGATTTGCTAAAAAAAAAAATCCCTGTATGGCAAAACCTGAAAAGATAAAGCACAATCACAAGCCTTCCTTTTAAAAATTACAAGCACAAATTCAGTGCTTGAAATCTCTGCAAACACTTTGGTTTATTGTGTGTTTACCAAATGGTAACAAACGGCCACTTTCTTGCATCTTGGCTTCTCAGTAAGGAAAAAAACCATCCCAAGGAGAGTGCACGTGCTGTAAACCTGCTTTCTAGCTGCAGCTTGGAAGGGTTCCTCAGGGTTTGCCTCTGGAAGGGTCCTGTACTGCTTTTGCAGTTAAAAAGCCAAGGGGCATCTATAAAAGGGCAAAAGCAACCTAATTATGTTGGCTTTGAGCCTCTCCGGCTAAACTCTGGCGTGATACCACAACTGAGATTTTATCCCTCCCCATCATGCTCATTCCTCATTTCAGTAGATTTTTTCCTCAAGAAAAATTCCAACTTACAGAAAGGACAGTTTGTTTCATCCCAGTTGTGTCGCTGGAGATTCTGTAATGGAATTTACCCCAGCAAAAAGTCATTCCTCATCACCTCTTCTATATGTCCTCTCCTGCAGAGCAATAAATCCCTCAGGCTGCCCAGTTTTTAAAGGCTGGTGTCCAGTCCTCCCCTAGATGAGCTGCCCGGGGTATTTTCAGCACCTTCACTCCTCCAGGTCTCAGGGGATGTGACTGCTCACAGGTCCCCTAAACCTGGCAGTCTATTCTCACAGAATTTACATTTCCTTATCCTTAACAGTTCAGCTCTAGGTCCCCACAAATTGGGGTCAAACTTGCTTTCCTACCAATCACCATCTTCATTTATTAGTTTTCTATCAAAACTGCAAACTGGCCATAAAAGGAAGCTGGGACATTTCCTCCACTGTCTCCACTATGTTTCCACAAAAGCTCTCTGATGTGACTTCACTCTCCATCTCCCTCCCCTCCCAGTGCCCTCCTCTCTTCCCCTTTGACTGTTTCCCACTGGGATAACCTCAGGCTCTGCACACCTTTTACATTTTTCAAGAGGAGTTTCCTCCTCCCATTATTTTTTACCTTATATGAGCTATTAACTATTATTACATTGAAGCCCACCTGTTCTATAAAGTTATTCAATAATTACCCCATATATTTCCTTTGGGGTTCTCTCTGGAGTGTTTGGCACTGACCACTCAGCACAGATTAAATGGAAATAAATGGGACAGTCACTGAATAACTTCATATGTCAGGAGTCCCACTGCAGTGATGGAAGGCAGTTTGGGTTAAGAAGAAGGGAACACTTTTAAACAGTGCTCCATAAAACAGAATTGCTTGCTATGAGCGAGTGACAATAAACTTTCCCAGTTTGTGTGTGACACTTTGCATTACCAGCCTAAGGGTCTCTCTCAGATTTATAATTTCATGGAGTTTAAGGAATTGAATCCTTTAGTATTTGCATTATCTTATTTTCTTAAGAATTTTATGTATGATTCCACAAACTATAAAACCAATAGAGTGTGTGTGACAGTTTGAGCCACATTAAAAATCTTAAATCCAACTTCCAAGCTTCCCCCACCCCTTCTCAACAATTTATCCTAACACTGGAGAGAAACTTTCAGGCCA